AGTCAAAGCTAACTGCTGGCCAAGATGCTGGCTCGACTGTAGACTACAGATAAAAGGTTGGCATCGTAACCCTGCCATCACGTATTGGTTTGTGGACTCCCGTTCGGCCTTTTCATTCTGCCTGCCGCCATCTGGGTTTTTGAAACCGGACATAATGAGTGAAGGGGACCAACAGGAGTAGTCATCAAAGCACACCAGAACAGCGCACTCCCACTTTGTTCTCAAGTGAAAAAATAAAATATTTGCAGTTTAACTAATGTGACTAAAATTCCTCTACACATTTGGAATTTAAGGACTTAGGTTCCAATCAGTACTAAAGGGTATGTCAGGCATTAAGAGCTGTTAAAAGTGAATGGTCAGAGTTGTATTAACATTTAAGGTGTGCATATTGATTCACATTGTAAACTCATGCATTAGGAAACATACAAGAAGGCGTTCCACCAGTGTTGGGCTCTAAATTCAGGTTGCAACACATTTATTTATAAAAATGGCTTTATCAGGCCGCCAGCTCACAGTCTGCCATATAATAGTCATTTGACCGGCAAGAAGATACTGAGACAATATGGACTTAATCCTTGAGAAGGGAGGATTAAGCTGCTCTTTTTGTAAATAAAGGAGTTGCAACACAAGGATCTTGTGAACTATTCATAAAGTCTGTCTAACATTTGATTGTGTGATCAGCTTAGAAATAAGCTCCAACTTAAATGTGCATGTGTGTCAAAGGTGCACTCGGGTACTTAAACAAATAGAACACCAGTGTAGAGTACCAGACGCCAATACAGTAGTAAACTATCAATCACAAGGTAGCCACACCCTTATACACACCCTGCTCCATGGTCTATTTCCCCCTAAATGGGACCATTACTAAAATAATTAACATTATACTGTATTGAAAGACACTTTAAACTAGCAATTGAAGCATTTTAGGGAAATGTTTCATAAGGGTGTCATAAATCAAGTGAAAAGGAACTGTCTCATAAATTTCTATACAAATCAGACTTCTTTTTGGCAACCAGAGAGGTCTCCCCATGTTGAACATTAGAGAGAATGCAGGTTTAAGTCACTTCTACCTTGGCTTCACTTTTCAGACTCAAAGCATATATCCATCACTAATATACTGCCTATGAGTACACCTCAGTCATGACAGGTAGTTCTCAGGGCTACCTAGCTTTTGAGTTGGCTAGTGACAGGTGGTAGTTAGCAAGCCATTAATCTTGGTTTAACAGATCTGTTGAATTAACACACAGTGTGCTGTATTTACTGTTCTCCATTTTATTGAGGACTGTACAAAACCTACTGTCTGTGCATGTACATTTATCCACTCGTGCACTCAAATATGCAAAAAAGTTGTGTACTTGGTATCTACACTGTTCTGCTAGCAATCCCAGAATGCAATGCGCTGCAGTTTTTGGTTGCAAAAAATGTATTCACGCAATGTGTGTAAAAGTCAGGTGTGCATGCATGATTCCATTAGTAGCCATAGTGCTAACTTGGTAGTCACTCCAGATAAACAGCCTGAATTAGTTGCTTTCTTTGGGTTACATAATTGTAGGTGCCACTGATGTATTAGAGAGACTTGGACATGAGTCACTTGAACAACAAATGCCTGCCTGCGGCATGAACCTAAAAGATTTCTAGCTTTCAGGTTTGCTGCATTGTGAGGCGCATTGCACATGCACATCAGTGTTTACCCTGTAGGCCCCAACAACAGGTTTGTGCACTGCCCATAGACTTTCCATTGTGATGAAGAGGTATCCTGTCAACAGATTTATAGGTGTTCTTTTTACAACTGCGGTCTATGAGGTAAATGCTTTTTGGGTTGCATGTATTTTTATTTTTTGCAATGCCTCAAGTGACTACTGGGAAAATTATCAGAAGATGAGTGGCAGTGCCGTTTCCAGCTTTCTTAAAACACCAATGATAGCATCTCCATACCACGTGAGACAGCATATAACTCCAACAAAATGAGTTGAATGGATTGTTTTAGTGTTATTACTGGATTGTATTTTGTTGTAACTCTCAATGGTGGTGCATTTATAGCCTTTCTGCTCACAGTTTATTGACATGTCTGCAGTTCTTTTTACTAAGTGGAAGATGTTTTGGGTGTCATAAAGTTTTGATTTCTCCAACTTGGAATTACAAGACAGAGTCCAACAGGAATGGTTTTGTAACTTAACTTTACTGAATGATAATTTAATCAATATAACCTGAATGCATCATTACCTCCTTGCAAAAATCCACACCTGGCAGAAGTGACACAAAATGATGAGTGTCTGAAATCACATTTTACACTATTAAGTAAACTATTGAATGGCTATTTTACAAAAGCATGACTGAAAAAGATAGAGATCCTGTGGCTTCAGGTTCTAAAATGTCTAACTGAACAACACCTTTGGACAGTACTGTAAATATGCAGTTGAATCCGGCTGCTGTAGCCTTCACTCCGCACTCCATTGAGTCCGTCTTCATCAGTTCTCTGTGGCATCTGAACTTCACTGTCAGTCAAACTCAGGGAGTCATAAAGCTGGAAAACTTATGATTACGGTTGTCATGTCTTGCTGTCACTGGTCAAATGTTTGCTGCTGAACGCAGATACAGTAACACTGTAGAAGGTTCATAGTATTTGTGTGAGAACTGTAGGTTTCAGGGGGAAAGTATTCACTGGTGTTTTTTCTACATTTCTCCATTCTGAGCCAGATACAGGTCCTAAACATGTAAATCAAAGATGTATAATTATAACAAATAAGTCAGAGGATGAAGTTTAGGATAAATTCAAGACACTAAAACTAAACAAAATCTGCCCGACAACCTCAGTTTATAGCAACACAACTATGACAACAACTTTGAAGTTTAA